GAGAAGCAAGAAAAATCTCTAATAGACTACCTAACCTCACAGGTTAAAGAACTAGAAAGCAAACAAAAAGAAAACCCTAGAGCAAGTAGAAGGATGGAAATAGTAAAGACCAGAGCAGAAATAAATGACATAGAGACCAAAAAAACAATCCAAAGAATCAATGAAAGAAAGAGCTGATTTTTCGAAAAGATAAACAAGATTGATGGACCTTAGCTAGACTCACCAAGAAACAGAGAATACCCAAATACAGAAAATCAGAAATGAAAGAGGAGAAGTAACAACTGATACCACAGAAATAGAGAAGATCATTAAAAATAACTATGAAAAATTATAGGGCAACGAATTTGACAATCAAAGTGAAATGGACAAATTTCTAGAAGCACATAGTCTCCAAAAACTGGACTGGGAAGAGATAGAAAACTTGAACAGACCAATAACAACAGAAGAAATTGAAGATGTAATCAAGACTTTCTCAGAAAACAAAAGCCCTGGCCCAGATGGCTTCATGGGGGAGTTTTACTGAACATTCAAAAAAGAAGTAACACCCATTCTCCTCAAGCTATTTCAAAAAATTCAAGAAGGAAGACTTCCAAACTCATTTTATGAGGCCAGCATAATTCTAATTCCAAAACCAGAAAAAGACATTACAAAGAAAGAAAACTACAGGCCAATATCCCTGATGAACATAGACGCCAAAATTCTGAACAAAATACTAGCAAATCGGATCCAGCAACAAAATCCAGCATCCATTTCTGATAAAAACGCTCAGCAGTGTGGTAATAGAGGGATCACATCTCGACATAATAAAGGCAATATATGAAAGGCCTACAGCAAACGTCACACTCAATGGGCAGAAACTAAAAGCATTTCCCTTAAGAACAAGAACAAGACAAGGATAACCACTTTTGCCACTCTTATTTAACATTGTACTGGAAGTCTTAGCCACAACAATCAGACAAGAAGAAAAAATAAAAGGGATCCAAATTGGAAATGAGAAAGTGAAACTGTCATTATTTGCAGATGACATGATACTATAAGTAGAAAACCCCAAAGAACCCATCAAAAATTTACTAGACTTAAATAAATTTGGCAAAGTAGCAGGATATAAAATTAATGTCAAGAAATCGATGGCATTCTTATACACCAATGATGAACTCTCAGAAAGATAAATTAAGAAAACAATTCCATTTACCATTGTGGCAAAAAAGTTAAGATACCTAGGAATAAACTTAAACAAAGAAATAAAGGACCTATTCACAGAAAACTACAGATCACTGAAAAAAGAAATAGAGGAAGATATAAAAAAGTGGAAGCACATACCTTGTTTATGGTCTGAAAGAATTCACATCATTAAAATGTCCATAAACCCAAAGCAATCTGTAGATTCAATGCAATCCCCATCAAAACACCAACGACATACTTCACAGAACTAGAAAAAATACTTCAAAAGTTCATATGGAACCCAAAAAGACCTTGAATAGGCACAGCAATCATGAGAAATAAGAAAAAAGTAGGAGGGATCACATTACCAGATTTCAGGTTATACTACAAAGCCACCATAATCAAAACAGTCTGGTACTGGCACAGGATCAGGCATATAGACCAGTGGAACAGAACAGAGAACTCAGAAATGGACCCGAGGCAATATGCTCAACTAATATTTGACAACGTTGGCAAGAGCATACAGTGGAGTAAGGACAGCCTCTTTAATAAATGGTCTTGGGAAAATTGGACAGCTACATGAAAAAAAATGAAACTAGACCATCAACTTACACCATACACAAGAAAAACTCAAAATGGATAAAAGACTTAATTGTGACTCATGAATCCATACAAATCCTAGAAGAAACTGTAGGCAACAACATTTCAGACATCATACGCAGCAGAATTTTCACTGATACATCACCTAAGGCAATAGAAACAAAGGAGAAAATGAACACATGGGACTACATCAAACTCAAAAGCTTCTGCACAGCGAAAGATACAATAATCAAAATGGAAAGGCTACCCACCGTATGGGAGAGCATAATTGCCAATGATATATCAGATAAAGGGTTAATTTCCAATATATAGAGAGTACTCATACAACTCTACAAAAGGAAGTCAAAGAACCCGATTAAAAAATGGGCAGAGAAACTAAATAGACACCTCTCCAAACAGGACACACAAATGGCTAAGAGACAGATAAAGAAATGCTTAACATCACTAATCATCAGAGAGATGCAAATTAAATCAACAATGAGGTATCACCTCACACCTGTCAGAATGGCCGCCATAAAAAAATCATCAAACAACAAGTGTTGGCACGGGTGTGGAGAAAGGGGGACTCTAGTACACTGCTGGTGGGAATGCAGACAGGTGCAGCCAGTATTGAAAACAATGTGGTGTTACCTCAAATAATTAAAAATGGAACTGCCATTTGACCCAGTGATCCCACTTCTTGGAATATACCCTAAGAAGCCTGAAACACCAATCAGAAAGAATATATGTACCCCCATGTTTGTAGCAGCACTATTTACAATAGCTAAGATCTGGAAAAAACCCAAGTGTCCATCAGTAGATGAATGGATAAAAAAGCTGTGGTACATATACACAATGGAGTACTAGGCATCTGTAAGAAAAGATCTGTTATCCTTTGAGACAACATAGAGGTACCTGGAGAGTGTCATACTAAGCGAAACAAGCCAAACAGAGAAAGACAAGTATCATATGATCTCACTTATTTGTGGAATATAATGAACATAACAGTCTGTGGAATGGGGTAGCCCCGGAGACATGGAAGTGGGGTATAGACTGACTATTCCCAGAAGAGGGGGTAGGGAGGAGCGATAAACCACAGAACTTATATGCATGTATGCATGTACAATGGACATGGACAACAAAGCTGGGGAGAAGGTGGGGAGGGAGGGAGTGGGGGGAATCAGTGGGGGAAAAAGGAGAAACATCTGTAACAAAAATAAATTAATTAATTCAAATTTAAAAAAAGATCCCTACCCCTTAGAAAGTTCATATTCTAATAGTATAAGATACACACACGCATACACACGCCAAGTACAGATATCTAAGTAAAGTTAATACAATTGTCATAAAAAATATAAACAAGGGGCTAAGAATAAGTGAGTGATCTACTTTAGGTAGGATAGTCAGAAAGTAAGTCCATCTGAGGAAGTGACATTTAATCTGAATCCTAGAATTTCTCATGAAAAGGATGGTGGTGTGGACCTTTCAAGCAGAGGGAACTATGTGTACATAGGCTTAGAATCAGAAAATAGTTTGATATGTTTGAGAAAGTGTGTGACAGCCAGCAAGGCCAGAGGACATGGCTGGAGAAAAAGAAGTGATGACACTAGAAATGTAAACAGAGAGTCACATCACTCAAAGCTCTGCCAGCTGCAGTAAAATGTTAGGATCTTATTGTAAGGACAATGGCAAGCCACTGAAGGGTTTTTCAAGCCAGGCACAACCTGATTTGATTTTCATCTAAAGACCATGAGCTGGTTCTTTTTGAGCATGCATGCCTTGAGGTCATCCTCCAACCACAGTAAGGTGGTCCTTTATTCCACCCTCAATTAGAGTCAGGCTTCCATCTGTGGAACAACTTTTGCTCCTTGGATCTCCTGCCTGGCTTAAGTGCCTTCCCAAAAGCCCCATAAATTCACTAAAGTAATTCTAATAGACTTTGCTAGAGTGTTGGGAGAATGGATGCTTTTGTAAAAGGACACAAAATAATAAAACAAAACCACTCCCTCATTTCTGATGGAAATTTTTCCCCTCCACTGTTTGTCATTAGTCCGTGGCCTGAGCAATTGTCTTTGTTCTTTATTCTGTCTCTATTTATTTTGCAAAAGGCCATGAACATGTGTACTACTATGAACAATAACAGAACTATAAATTCTTATTGATCTCAGAAAGTTGGGAATTCTAAACAACAAAAATATGTCCTCTGACTGCTTCTCTCAAACCAACATTTAAAAAGACAAAAATGCTTTGTTAAAACAACAAATGAGCTTTTGGGACACTTTGGGCCTCAGCCTCAAGAGGGGCTCAGGTCACCAGGTATTGATGCAAGAGGCGACTTTAGGCACAAAATTGGAAAGACCTCTCTGCCACCCTCTTCTGGGCTCACTTCTCACTTCTCAGTCCACATCTTGACTGCATCAAGCCCAGTTTCCTATACAGCTTTCAGCCGCAATTATTTTTAGGAACCAGAATTCTCAGCCTAAAGAGAAAGTCCCTTTTGTCCTCCATCCATGATTTAATTTACATTCTCCTGAACGCTCCATTCACTTTGTTTTCAGGGTAAGAGAAGTCTCAATTGTACTAGACCCTGAATTTGAATTTCCCTGTGTTTCCACTGTTTGGAAATTTGCCTAGGTCAGGCACCAAACAGTCCCTTCAGAATTCAGCTGTACCTTAGAGAAATCTTTACTGTTCATGATTTCTTACAATATTTCTATAACTATCATGTTTTCTCTCAATTTCCCTATTCTTTATGTCTTTCAAAATACACAGATATGTGTGAGCATACATACAGACAGTGATATGCATACATATAACTTTTTCTCTGATAATCAACAAAGTTTTCACTATCTTTTCCAACTTGATCACATTCCTAGGGAAATATCCCTCCTTTGCTGCCCAGATTTTAGAGAGATGCACTTAGCTCCATTTTTTTTTTCTGCATTTCTCACTTAAATGCATCCTTCCTGGCATTCCTCTGATCCTCCAACACCATGATTCACAAGACAATGTGACAAATGAACTTTGTATCCTTTTGTCTCTCTGTTCTCACCTATAATCTTCTTTAATATGCAAATTCATAAGAATTTACTAGAAATGAGCAAAACTTGACTACAAAGTAATATAAATGTAAAGAATTATCAATTTCTAATAAAAAATATGTAGCATTAATTAGGAAACACTAGGGAAGAAATTGTTCTTTCTGCTCTTTGAAAATTCTTGAGGGAAAAACAGATTATTGGTAGCAGAATATGGCTTACCTGAATGTATTATAATCCACCATCTTCGTGACCTTACAGTCAGCAGCCCTAAATACCTGCTTGATCTCTCTGGATTTTGATTTTTCATCTTTCAGCTTTTGTAGTGCAAGTTCAAGGTTGCTAAAAGGAAACTGGAAAGGAGAAAACAAAGGATAGATAATTAAATATGCCTGAGATATAGGCAGCCCAATCTTTCTGATGGCCAGAAAAGAGACTTCACACTGTGAACCTGAAGTTAGTTGGGCATGTCTGTCCATAAAGATCAACACAGAGAAGACATGACTAGATTTGTACCTCTTCAGTTAAGGCAGAGGTGGGGAGGGTCCATCCCACAGGCCATATAAGGCCTGAGAAATCAATTGGTCTGGCCCTGCCAAGGCAACTGCAGGCAGGACTCAAACTTCAATAAATCTAGGGGCTTTTTCCATAGTAACATAAATTTAAGTGAATCGTAATTATAATGTAAATTTTGAGGGATAGGCAAGGAACATCCATTACAGGATAGACAGAACACATACAAGTACATGATGAGACAGACATGTATGCTTCTCATTGGCTGCATGCGGCCCGTCTGCCTGTTTTGCAGTGACTCAGAGAACAGTCAGTGCCAGGAAGGCTGGGAGTGCACACATTGCAAAAGTGTTAATGCATTGTGGTGAAACTACATCAATCTGGTGATGATAACACGAGATGTGATGAGATGATTCCTTGTGACGCTGATGACCTTGCCTCTGATGATAGATGATGATGTTGTCAACTTCTTTGTAGACACAGACAATAACTCCAATCGAACCTTCATCCACATATCCATGATCAACAATCCTCTCAAAAACTGAATCTCTGATGAAGATTAAGTAAATTACAGTATACAGAAAAGACCTCAAGAGTCAATGATATGAATGTTGGATATGTTCCAAATCCAAGATGCAGGATTAGAACAGTGATCAAAGCAAAATAATAACATCACTGATGACACACACACTGGATAGTTATTAAAACCTAAGTGGTGTGACATCCTACAAATGGTGTCTACAAAGAAAAGAAAAGTTGATGCAGAGTGTCAGTCTTTCCAAGAGAAATGGACAAATGATTTTGTTGTTGTTGTTGAAGTCAAAGGCAAATGTGTGTGCCTACTTTATGGCAATGCATTAGCAGTAATGAAAAAAGCCAATCTAGAGCGTCATTACAGCTCAAAACATGATAAACTCAATGAACTGGAAGGCCAAATCCATCTGGATAAAATCAGTGCTCTTCAGCAGAGTCTGGAATCCCAACAAGCTGCTTTCACTAGGCCTCATTGTGACAGAGACAGTGTTATTCAGATGAGTTATGTAGGAAACGAACTAACTGAAAAGAAGCTGAGGCCTCTTGTAGAGGGAGAGTTTGTGAAAGAGTACTTGGTGGCTGCTGCGGAGTTATTAGCACCAAACAAAGTAAAATTGTTTCAGAGTGTTAGTTTGTCTGAGAGAACCTTCTCAGATTGGATTACTGACTTAGCACAAGACATTGAAAACACACTGGAGGATTCTGCAGATTTCCATTTTTTCTCTCTCGCTTGTGACGAGACAACAAACATAACAAACACTATCCAACTGGCCATTTTCGTTTGTGGGATAACTGCAGAGATTGACATGTGAGAGGAACTGCTGTCACTGGAAGCCATGCATGGCACTAAAAGAGGTGAGGACCTGAGAGACTTGTTTTATCAATGAAAAAATTTGAGTTAACATTTGAAAAGTTAAGTGGCCTTACTACAGATGGAGCTCCAGCCATGGTTGGCTCACAAAAAGGGTTAACTACATTTGTCAAGAAAGAACTGAATCATCTCAGTCTTGATTCAAATGATTTAATTATATGCCACAGCATCATACACCAAGAAAGTCTCTGTGCATAGTCGTGGCGGCTCAACAATGTGATGTCAACAGTACTATCATGCATAAATGTTGTCAAAAGCAAAGGGTTTAACAGCCACCAGTTTAGGGAGTTACTGAATGATCTTGACTCTGAGTACAGTGATCTTGTTTATCACTATGAGTGCGGCAGCTGAGTCGCAGGAACATGCTCATGAGGTTTTAAGAACTTCAGGATGAAGTCAAGCAGTTAATGGAGAGGAAGGGAAACCTGTCAAGGAACTCAATGATAGCAAGTGGTTGTGTGATTTAGCATTCATGGTGGACATTACCAAGTATATCTCAGAGCTGAACATCAAGCTGCAGGGCCCCAACCAACTTTTCAGCTCCCTGCTTTCAAACATGAAATCATTTAAAGCTCATTAAGCCTGTGGAAAGTGCAACTCAAAAGGAATAACATGGTGCATTTCCCCACTCTGGAAGGACTTAAAAGCCTTATACAACACTTAAATATGTTTGAATGTACAAAACTAATTGAGGCATTTAATGAAAGATTCGAGCATGTGAAAGGTAAACAAATGGAATTGAACATCTTTGCTACACCATTCAATGTAGAACCTGCTGATGTGCCTGATAATCTACAACATGAAATCACTGAGCTGCAAAGCGATGATGAGCTGAAAGCTGGGTACAACGACCTCCTACTGCTTGAGTTCTATAAATGTTACATAAACAATGATGAAGTTCCCACTTTCAGGAGACATGCACTGAAATATGCATCTGTGTTTGAAACAACCTACCACTGCAAAGAGTCAACTGCACTCCAGACTGACAGATGCAAACCTGGAAAAGCAGTTGTGGGTAGCAAAATCATCAGTACCAGCTAACATCACACATTTCACCAAAGGGAAGCAGTTCTAGCCATCATATTAGGGGTGAGTTAATTAAATGACAAAAAATAGCAGACTAATTTTTAGGTTGATAATTTTGTATGGCCTGTGAATGATGTTATAAATATTAAAATGGCCCTTGTCAGAAAAAAGTTTCCCTACCCCTGAGTTAGGGAGTGACATCAGCATAAGCCCATTTCTGAGAGAAATGAACTGAAGGTATGGCAGGCCAAAGGAATCAGAAAACTACACCTTCTATCTCAGCCTCCTACCTTAAGCCCTTAGACATTGGCCTAGTATGTTGGGAGACCCTAACAGAGACAATGGGGATTCAAAATTGGATAAGTGGACCCTCATTTTCTCCAGATCTTTAGAGTGGGCCTCTGAAACTGCTGGCCACCATGCCATGTATTAAGCAGAGCAAGACTGGGTGTTAAAGGTACACACACACTGAAATCCCCTTTCATTCATTCTCTAGGCATCCCCCAGTTTCTGTCTCCTACTCTGTGATTTGATTTTTGACTCTGTAACAACACTCCTTATTCCATCCAATAAAGCATAAGGTTGTAAATAATCACAGCTAAGAGCTAAAAAGACAATAGAAGACTAAATATGAAAATAACATGGATGATAATTTACCATAAAGCTCACTCTCTTCCAGGGAGTTTGGCACTTATTGCAGCCCCCCAATTCTCTCCTCATTTTGCATTTTCTTTCATCTATTTCCATAATAAGATCTATAGCACTTTTGAAAAGACTTCTCACACTGACAAAGAGTGCATTAATCTTTCTCTACTTAGAATGTCCTTGTTAAGGACAGTTTTAAAATAGTGACGTTTTCACTTGGGATGCTGATACCAGGTAGTGTCCTACACCCTGCTTTTATTATCTTTCTGAAAGGAGAAAAGCCCTTTATATATATATATATTTTTTCATTATTTCTTATATATATCCATTATTGTATGTCGACTGTAATTGAAAAATAAAACTTAAAAACATACTATATATACAGTTGACCCTTGAACAACATGGGTTTGAAGTACACGGGTCTACTTTCACATGGATTTTTTTCAATAAATACTGTAAATGTATTTTTTCTTCCTTATGATTTCCTTAATATTTTCTTTTCTCTAGCGTTTTATTATAAGAATATACTATATAATACATATAACATACAAAATATGTTTATCAACTGCTTATGCCATTGATTCGTAATGCTTCCAGTCAATATTAGGTTATTGGTCATTGAGTTTTGGGGGAGTCAAAAGTTATATGTCTATATTTTACTGTGTGGGGGATCAGTGCCCCTAACCCCTGTGTTGTTCAAGGGTCAATTATATTTTATATAATGGTATAGGCTTACCCTGTGTTTGAATATTGAGCCCTAATTTATAATAGCCATTATAAATTGTACATTGACTGAGCTTGCTATGTAACTTATAGAGTTAAGCACTTTACACACATTATGGCATCTAATCTTCATAGGAAGTCTATAAAAGAGACACTGTTGCTACTTCCATTTCAAAGATAAAGAAAGTGAAGCTCTGGAAGGTTATATTTCTACAGTCCCTCAACTATTAAATGTGGAGTCAAGATTCCCGGACAAGCTCGCTGATCTCCAAAAGTTGAACTGTCCTATTATTGGGCCTCTCACCCGAATTCAGTGCATATGAAGAGAAACTGGTTCATAGTTTAATAATAACCTGAATGCCTAACCCTGTAAATGGAGAGATGGTGTGAGAGCCCTGGAGCATGCTTCCCAGGGTCTACTGTCAGAGAGACTGTGCAGAGAAGAGCATTGTTAGGTCATAGCCCTCAAGTGCTGTACCTTCAAGATTGGTACAGTGTTCCTACCGAGGTCACACTCTCTCAGGCTGTTCCCACCACTGACTGAGCAGGATGGGGACATCAGAGCTGGGCCATCCTACCTGACATTGGACTTCTCTGATGTGAAGTCTTTGCTCTGGGTTCCCCACTGGCCTCGCCAAGACTTTCTCAAAGCTCTGCTATGTTTGAGGCTCTTCCTAACCCATCCTCCTTCCTTCTCTTTCCTTTCTCAGGGTTTAGACCTCTGACGGCTCTCCCTGCCTACTCTTGTTCCTCTACCTTTATCCTTCATATGTATTTCTTCCAACACATCTCTTACCCATCTAATTATGCCTTGGCATCTGCTTCTCAGAGGACCCAAACTGACATAGATGATGTAATATACACTGAGAAACTGATCTTAGCAACCTGCCCCTGAGCATTTTATATAGAAATGAAACAAAATTGATACTGTATATTTATAATTGGCACACTAATTCTTACAGGCAGACTTTTCAAATAATTTTTTCTAGACAGGTTGTTCAGTATTAGGAAATGACTCTTAAATATACATGTTTGTTTTTGCATACCAAACTAGTCCACGCTTAAAATCAAGATTTTATCAACATGTTATTTTTACTGAAGAGCACTGCCTAATAGTACATTTAGTAACAGTATCCATCTGCCATCTTATTTTAAATGAAAAACTCTTTGAGTTCACTGTTACCAATTTGTCCTTGAATTCTTATTTAGGCCTCAGGTGGCTCCTGTTATGGGAAGTTGCAACCCCAGCAACTATTGGATTCCTTAGGGGACTCTGTTTGTTCAGGTCTTGGCCTTCCCTGTAGGCCTGTGCCAATTAACTGGAACAACACAGTGTGTGGCACCAGATTTTCTTCCTTTCCTATAGTTGCTGGATTTCTTTCTGAAAACATTGTTGGTGTCAGCAGAAAACTCAGGAAACTTGATTCAACCCTGGGCCTGCCTCCTGCCTGTGCCTGGCATTTGTAATGCTGGGCAGCAAAGGACCCAGCATGTAAACAGAGTAGACTGGGACCTGGCCTCTGTGACAGGACCTGTAGCCAAGTCACGCTGATCCATTATTCATGCCCACATGTGTGAATGCACAATGTAAAACGGGTGGCAAGATGGAGAAGAAAAGGCTTAGAGAAAGAAAAACACAGATTGTAGAGTACTGACAGACAAGTCAAGAATTATACAAAGTAATTTACCCTATCTGAATTCTCCTCCATGAATTTTAAGGTGTACTCATCAGCATTGAGCAAAATAAACAGGTAGCCATTCACATTCACTTTGGCTCCAATATACAGCTCCTCGGGCTGGATATATTCTGATAGTTCACTTTTAAAGATTTCTTGTCCAGGCCTCTTAACACGCATTCTTTTCAAGAACAATCCACCAGCATTCCCTACAGAAAAAGAGAAAGGTTAGTAAGTAGGCTTTATTATTAAAAGAAACATACAACTTGCCTTTAGAGTTACTTCATGCTCAAACAGAGACTGCACAGACTTAGCTGTGAACTCATAGTGCCTATTATTCTCAGAATGAAAAGAATGAGAAGTGAGGGAAGAAATGAGGCTCCTTAGGTAAGTGCGTAAAGAAAAAAGTGGTATGGCATCCCAGCCTTTTCTTTTTTATTTATTAATTTGTTTTTGTTACAGATGTTTCTCATTTTTCCCCCACTGACACCCTCTTCCCCTTCCCCTCCACCTCATCCCCAGCTTTGTTGTCCATGTTCATTGGTCATGCATTCCTGCATGTAAGTTCTGTGGTTTATCTCTCCCCTCCCACCCTCCTCTCCTCTGAGGCTTGTCAGTCTGTACCCCACCTCCATGTCTCTGGGTTAATTTTGTTCATCAGTTTGTTTAGTTCATTATATTCCACAAATAAGTGAGATCATGTTACTTTCTCTATTCCCTTCCCAATCCAAACATTTAAATTAGCACTTAGCAAATTCCTGCTATATGCCAGCACCATACTGAGAACTGGGACATCAGAAAGGCACTTCTTTAATGCATGTTTGAATAATACCAGGTAGAAAATTCCTCACTTGAGTTTATTTCTAGTCATTCGTCCCAGATGATCTGATACGTATTCTGACATACAGATTAACTCTTTTTTTTTTTCCTTTAGGCAAAATATCTTTGCTTCCTTTAGCAATGTCTCATATTTCTTGCTTTCCAGAATTCTATCTATTTCATCTGCTCTCTTCTGGGGATTATTTAATTTTTTGACCTTTTAAATAGCAACGAGCAGAGTTGAACATGAAACTCTAGTATCTCCTAACTGATAGTGAACTGAAATCTTTAGATCTATGAATAAAACCTGAGACCAGATGAGCTTTTGGGATCAGCTTGATCATATTCCTCCTACCATATTCAGAAACCATGGGAGGTAGAAAGACCAGGCTTTGGAGCCAAATAGAGCTAGACTCCATCCTGGCTTTGTTGCTTGTTTGATGATCTTTAAGAGTTATTGAACCTCGCCCTGGCCGGTTTGGCTCAGCGGTTAGAGCGTCCGCCTGCGGTCCGGAGAGACCCGGGTTCGGTTCCCGCTAAGGGCACGTACCTCGGTTGCAGTTTGTCCCCGGCCCTGGTTGGTCGTGCGGGTGGCAGCCACTCGATGTGTCCCTTTCACATCGATGTTTCCCTCTCTCTCTCTTCCTCTCTCTCCCTCCCACTCTGTCTGTACAAAAAATGAAAAAAATGTCCTCGGATGAGGATAAAAAAAAAAGAGTTATTGAACCTCTCTGAATTCTCAATCATAAAATGGGAATAAAACTTATGGAGGTATATAAATGTACCTATCAGATCGCTTACTGTGGGAACATAGTTAATGTAAAGCCCCAGTTGCTATGTTCTCAATTCTATTCCTAGGTTTGTGCTGAGTTCTTGCTTCCAACAAGCTACTGTCAACACATGACTAAGCAAGGCAGAGATACAAGGCAAGCCCATTTCTGCAAGACAGAAGCACAACTAGTGACTTTGGCTCTAGGACTCCCAGTCAGTCTTACTGAATGAAACTTTCTTAGAATTTCACTGCATTCTAAGACTGCTCCCTTTCTTCCTATCCTCTGTCCTTCTCAAGAGTCAGACATGCACTGCAGTCTGATGGCTCCCCAACCTCTTCTGGCTGCTTCTACATTTTCCCTCACCTGCATTTCCCCTAATAAATCTCTTGCACATTTAATCCCATCTTGGGGTTTGCCTCTTAAAGGACAAAACTTAACCTCATAAAGTTCTTATAAGGATAATAGTGGGTACTCAATCATAGCTATTATTACTAGTAAGCTTGTAGTTAACTATCAGCACCCGTTCTGTTTTACAAATGCTGCAGTTGGCTTGGCCATATCTTTCCTATTCTAGATATATAGAGTTTGTTTTTTGACCTTTAAGAGCATGATTTATATTCATCCATATTTTATTTCATATTTTAAGATTTTATCCATTATTCAAATCACTGTGGAGCCTGACTTAGTTATACAAATTATTCATTATTCATTGGTGTGCTGAGTGGCTCATACCAGCTCATAAGGACTGATTGTTCAACTTCCAGAGACTTTGCAAGCCAGTTGTTAAACTGGTGATTGCTTGAAATTGAAATTGGCCACAGTTGGGGTATTTACACCATGGAAATTGGCAAATGGTACAAATTAGCTCCTTTGACATTTTTTCACAGTGCCTGTTAACCAGTACATCACTGATTATTCTACCCAAACATGTGTCTTCAGTACAGATAAAAGTTTTAAATATGTTGGGACAAAGAACTGAGCCATGCAGCTCCATAATTTGGTCAAAATCAATGGCTTTCCTCAATAATGGCCACAGCATCAGCACAGTGTGTAGAGGCTTTCCATGGGCTTGGGTGCTAGAACCTTGGCAACAGCCAGAACAGACAGAAAATCCAGAAGAAAATGGACTCTAAAGATTATATTTTAAATCTGGGATTCTTGTCTAATAGTTAAGCAAAAAAAATTTGTAAGCAGTACTATCAATAATACAGACTTCCTCTTGTGTTGCTGGCTGTCACTGGAATTTGTGGTAGCCAATTCATAATTTTGAAGCCCTTGGATTCCTCAGAGGTGTCTCAAAAGCCACAGAGGAAGCGGGGATAGTGGCCAAAAGGAGGTATCCCAAGTCCCCCAGTCCCAAGCCAACCCAAACTGTTCCTTCTTTATAATTTTATATGTCTGGGTTCCCATTTAGAGATATTTATAAAATGAGCATTAGTGGTTAAAAAAATGAAAGCCACTATCTTAGATCATCTAGTGTATAAAATCAGATCATACCCCCTAATTTTCAAAGTGAAGAGACAGTTAATTGTTCTGAGGAAAATGCTATGAGAAGTATGTCTCTTACCTGAATTCTTCTCTATGGGTTCAAACACTGAAATTGTATTATTGCTGAGAAAATATGAAATAATAAACAGCCTGTCCTGGTCGGCACATTTGTCTGTAATCAGCTTTGCAAAGAACCGGAGTATATTGCTTATGTTGTCATAGCTAAATGGAAGAAAAACGAAGGTTATAGTGTTATACAAATAATCTTACACACACACACACACACTATATATATATATATATATATATATATATATATATATATATATAAAGACTGTAAAAGGTGTGCTATGGATTTTTTCATTGAGTTATAATTGACATATAACATATTCAATTCAGGTATACAACATAATAATTTGATATTGGTACACATTGTGCAATGATCACCACAATAAGTCTAGTTAACATCTGTGACCATGCATAGTTACAATTTTTTTCTTATTATGAGGACTTTAAAGATCTATTCTTTCAGCAACTTTCTAACATATAACGCAGTATTGTTAACTATAGTCAACGTGCTGTATATTAGATCCCCATGACTTACATTTTTTGTAACTGGGAATTTGTACCTTTTGACTCCTTCACTCATTGCACGCACACCCCACTCCCCAGATGTGCTATGGTTTTAAGATAGTAGGATAAACTCTCTGAAGTTGACAAAGTTCAACTACCTTCTTACTAAGGCTCTAAATCTATATGCAGAAGAATTTCTCAATTTATTAAAATATCACTTATTCTTTAGATGTCCAGGGTAACACATTGGGAAAATGTACCCAAAACAAATGCCATAAACACACTACTCAAGCCAACAGTTGTTCCCTACTCCCAAGGCTAGTCAACAAATTACAACAATCATATTAGCAAGAAGAACAGCACCTAGCCCTCACTGCCAGGCCATGAGCACGCCAGCAGGTGTACTCCACAGGGGACCTGGCACTATCTCCCCATTTCACTTCCCACTTTCTCATGCATGTTTCTTTTCTTTCTTCTAGCCCTACATCCTCTCCTTCCCGAGTCATTACCCCAGTTCCCCAGCATCCTTCCAAATCGCTTTATAGGGGAAAAATTATCTTTTCACTTTCTTTTTTTTTTTTAATCCTCACCCGAGGACATTTTTCCATTTTTTGTTCAGGTAGAGTGGGAGGGAAAGAGAGGAACAGAGAGAGAGAGAGAAACATCGATGTGAAAGGAACACATCGAGTGGCTGCCACCCGCACAACCGACCAGGGCCGGGGACAAACTGCAACCGAGGTACGCACCCTTAGCGGGAACCGAACCCGGGTCTCTCAGGACCGCAGGCCGACACTCTAACCGCTGAGCCAAACCGGCCAGGGCTATCTTTTCACTTTCAAATGCTATATTAAATATTATTTCACTTGTCACCCATATTGTAAGTAGCCATTATAAGTCTGTTTTCTAACTTCATCTTATTAACCATTGTCAAATATAACACTTTTTACATTGTATGTACTCAATAAATGTTTGTAGAAAATTATTATAAGATCTGTATAGTTTGAAATTTGCACTTAGAATTCTATGCATCAATAGAATATTCTAATAGACTGAGGATGGGATCAAAATCTAGAATCAAAGTTCCCAAAGCTAATTGCCTTGTCATTGAAGAAATTAATTTATGGTCTGTCAGCAGAAGCATGTCTATGTATATCAGCTAGTGAAATGTGGAATACATAACAAATCCTAAACCCTTGGGGAGGTCTTTGATAATCAAAATCATTACTCCAAGGAGCATAGAGTAAAATAAACCATGTAGTTCGTCACTTCCCTGTCATAACTCTAAGCAGGGAGGTTTCAAATTTTATTATGCTGAAATCCATTCTTTCCTTGTGGTCACAGTGATATTAAAAAAACAAACAAACAAACAAAAAAACAGAAAAGCAAAAACAAAAAATAAATTATATTTTACAGAATCAGAAAGTGCTTTTCTCTGCCTCTTTTTCAGATTGTCCAAGTAAGCAGGACTGCAAAAGCATGGCACCAAGATTCCCAGTTTGAGGCCTCATGTGAGATGAAAAGTAGCAATCTGGAAGGCTAGCCCTGGGCAGCCCAGGCAAAACAGCCATATCTCTATAGCTGTTTTCTTAGTTCCTAGGTTCCCAGGCTTCAGATAGACTTCATACAGTACTACAGTACAGGGGGTAGGTGGGAATCTATACCTTGTCAACCATCTTTTCTGGTAGATAATTGGATTTATAAGGAACAAACAGATTTGGTAACCCTATCTTATGCTATATAGTTGTGAATTGCACAAGTCTGGGATAATAACCTTCATGATGGGAAATTCAACTGTCTCTTCTCCCCATCATTAAGAACTAGAAGGGTGAATGTTTATTCTATTTAATCCCTTATGTATCCATTCCTTATCTTATTAGAAAAATATATATTGAGCCCCTAGTATGTAGTCAGTACTTTTCTAACTATGAGGGAAGCAGGAAAGCCAGTCCCTGCCCTCAAGGAGTTCTTTCAGGGGTAAGGAACGTCCAGCCTACAGGCCGCAGAAGGCCCACAAAATCAATACCAGCTAATATCACACACCTCACCAAATCAACCTGACCAAATATAGCAGGTTATTTTTTAAATTGATAATTTTGTATGGCCTGCGAATGATGTTATAAATATCCATATGGCCCTTGGCAGAAAAAAGGTCCCCCACCCTTGGTAGGGGGAGATCATAATTACATAATCAAGTAATTGCCACACACTTCAATAAGTACAGGTGAACTCCAGAACTCATACTTCTTCTGGATCTAAATCCTACTTCACCTGAAAATGATCTGTGTGAGCTTGGGCAAATTATATGGCTTCTCTGAGCCTCAGTTTCCTTGTGTGAAGAATGGGTATAATAATATTATCTACTTTATGAGGCTGTTTTGAGGATTAAATAAGATCAAATATTGTAGTAGTTAGTACATCATAACTACACATTACTTTTTATTAGTAGTAATAGTATTATTATTATTAGAGATATGGTCAGCAGAGCATTGTGGACACACAGAGAACAAAGTAACTAATTCATCCTGGTATAGCAAGAAAGACATTATTCTGGATATCAAAAGTCAGATTAGACAATCTGTCCAGAGGCCACCAGCCTGGTATAGCAAGAAAGACATTACTCTGGTATCCCAAGTCAGACTACACAATCTGCCCAGAGGCCACCACAGTGAATTTTTACCCGGACAACAAAGGTCTTCATTCCATCAAAAAGTCATATGCTTTAATTTGAAATTATTTCCTCCAACAACTCATACCAGGTCACCATTAACCTAATACAACAACGAGTACCCTGTAAATTTTTACTAGTAAGGCATACAATCAATATACGTTATATACAATTCTATGTCTAATTCACAGTTTATTTATTTGCATTAAGAAACTGGTCTTTGTATGCTTTGTGAGATCATTTTCCTTAGGTTCTCACAATTTTAAAACCTTGGGTTATTCAAACTCATGTATAAGACTCCAGCGGAATGTGCCAGTTACTATGGAAACAAGGTCACTGTGTAGGAGGAGCTTGAGGGCAGTGTATTCCTGGCACAGAATGGATAGTGGACAGAAAGAAACAAAACTAGAGCCATTTGCACTTGTACCATCATCCTCTAGCCACAACAACATGACAAGAACATGAAATACTGTCTATAATCAGTGCTCTGTGGGCAAGTTTATACAGTATAGACAGAAGGAGAGACTAAAGCAACTACCCACAAGAAAATGTTTTTCCCTGGATTCCAGAAGAAACACCCTGGATCATGTTTCATCTTGTTTACTTATAAGAAAAAATTTTCTCTCCTTTTATTATAATAGGGACATTCTTTCTGCCTGCCTCCTTCGGGTAGCTGCTCTTAAAAACAGAAGTTAGCAAAAAGTATTCATCAAAATCCCTACCCTGCAACCTCACGGTAAACACTGCTATCTATAAAAGAGGATGATGGTGTCCCTCTTATGTAATCAAAATCAGTAGTTCTCAAACCCTGGTATACATCAGAAACCTTGGAGGGCTGGTTAAACACAGTACCAGCACCACTCCCAGGGTTTCTGCCTCAGTAGGTTCAGAGTGTAGCACAAGAATTAGCATTTCTAACAAGTGTGGGTGCCACATTTTGAGCATCATAGATTCTAAAACTGAAAACAAAACTCTAAAGTTCCCAAAAATAAAAGATTATTTCTTGAAAGACAAAGGATATCATATAATGACAAAGGCAGCCTTTTAGACATTCTGTATAGCTCTTAATAATATATTTCACCATTTTTACAGTTTTAGCAAAACTACTGTTTTCTCTACTTAACAATGTTCTACAACAGCATCTGACTCCATAAATTTTATCAAATTCAGGGTTCTGTCTCTTCTCCTTCTCCTGGTCTAACTACATTTTTCCTTCATCATTTTTATCCACAGGTTCCCCTGACCCTTTATTTCCCTTACACAGGACTTCGATGTTTGGCCAACTCCTATTCTGATATCTGCAACATTTTCCTACCACTTTCCCCACAGCTTCTTCTTTTTTTTTTTTAATCCTCACTGAGGCCTTTCTTTTGCATTTATCTTCAGATAGAGCAGGGTGCGGGGGAACGAGAGAGAGAGAAACATCAATGGGAGAGAGACATATCGACTGGTTGCCACCCACATGACCCCAACTGGGGCCAGGGACAAACCAGAACCAAGGTATGTGCCCTTAGCAGAAACCGAACCCAGGACTCTCTGGTCCACAGGACAATGCTCTAACCACTGAGCAAAACTGGCCAGGGCTACCCCCCAGCTTCTTTCTCCAGAGCCTACTCTCTTTAAAAAAGGGAAAAGTAGCTAAGGGCAGTGCCCACATTTTATACATATAATAATTCAGGGGCAGATTTTTCCTCAAATATATTAGGAATACTTTTGAAAGTTCATCTTTTGAAATTAGATTCAGCCGTGTGAGCAATCTATGTCTACTGAACTCAGCTAAACCTCTCAAATTAAAACCACATTCATTGCACAGAAACAAATTCATAGATAGAGAGAACATTTTGATGGTTGCCAGATGGGAGAGAGGTTGTGGTGGAATGGGTGAAAAGACAAAAGGATTAAGAAGTGTAAATTGCCAGTTATAAAAACTACCAGGGGAATGTAAAGTACAGGATAGAGAATATAGTCAATAATATTGTAATAATTATGTATGATGTCAGATGGGTACTAAACTTATCAGGGTAATCACTTGGTAAGTTATATAAATGTGTAACCACTATGTTATATACTTGAAACTTATATGATATTGTATGTAACTGAAAAAACAACCATATTAATTACCAAATAACATTCTGAAAAACACATAAATCATGGAAGCTTCTATGCCAGGGGCAGGAAAACTACAGCTTATGAGCCAAAAACAGCTGACCATCTGTTTTTATATGGCCTCTGAGATAAAAATGATTTTTACATTTTTAAGTGGCTGAAAAAAATCAAAAGAATAATATTTTGTAATAGGTAAAAATTACATGAAATTCAAATGTCAGTGTCCACAAACAAAGTTTTATTGAAACATAGTCACACATTTGTTTATGGACTGTTTGTGGCTGTTTTCACACTACAACTGCAGAGTTAAGTGGGTGTGACAGAGGCCATGTGGCCTGCAAAGCCAAAAACATTTACTATCTGACCCTTTAAGAAAAAGTCTACTCTACATCATTTCCTAGGGACCACCATGAGGAAATATATATACATAAAGGCATCTTTGTCATCTCACTGATTCTATGATTTTAGGTGCTTCCCGATGACAGTTATTAAAATAACTACTCAATGGCAAGGTTTTGGAGAAAAGGGAACCCTTGTACACTGTTAGTAGGAATGTAAATTGGTGCAGCCACCATTGAAAACGCTAAAATTAAAAATAGAACTATCATATGATCCAGCAATTCCACTTCTGGGTATATATTTGAATGAAATGAAATCATTTTCCCAAAGAGTTATCTGCACCCCCACAGTCACTGCATCATTGTTTACAATAGCCAAGACATAGAAACAACCTAAGTGTCCACTAACAAATGAATGGATAAAGAAAATTTGATATATGTGTTATATACACACACACACACACACACACACTGGAATGTTATTCAACCATTAAAAAAAAAAAGGAAGTCCTACCACTTGATACAACAAAGATGGAACTTGAGGGCATCATGCTAAGTAAAATAAGTCAGACAGAGAAACAAATACTGTATGATCTCACTTATATGTGAAATCAAATAAAACCAAACTTATAGAAATAGATATCAGATTGGTGGTTGCCAGAGACAGGGAGTAAGAAACGAATGAATTAGATGAAGGTGATCAAAAGGTACAAACTTCCAGTTATAAGATAAATAAGTTCTGGTGATGTAATTAATGTACAATATGGTGACTATAGTTGACTATATTGTATATTTAAAAGTTGTGAGAGTAAATCTTAAAGGTTTCATCACAAGGAAAAAATTATAACTATTTGAGGTACTGAATGTTAACTAATTTTATTTTAGTAATCATTTTTCAGTATATTCATATATCAAATCATTGTTATACAATGTTGTATGTCAATTATATCTCAGTAAAACTGGGAAAAATATAATAACCACTCAATAAGAGCCTGTTAATACTTGCATGTTACTGAACTTCATTAAAAAGCTATAACATGCCCCTGGACTTAAGATTAGATGAGCTGAGTGTCATCTATGTCATCATGGGGACTGTACAATAAATCTTGAACACATTTGGGAAATAACAGACCAAAATAATGGTTCCCTAAAGTACCTGTCTATTTCCATGAACTTCCTGAAGGCCTCCAGATTAGGACGAGGTATGGGTACAAGGCCTATGCAAGAGCGGAGAGAATCTTCTTCAGAACCAAAGCCAGTGTAAGGTGGAAATTTCCTTTCTATTTTTGGAGGAGATGGAGGCTTGCATGAAATTGAGGTAAAGTTCTCTAGAACAAAACAAAGGCAAATGAAACATCAATATTTTTTTTGCTCTGATTATGGCTGTTTTGAAAGGTTTGTTATGTTTTCAGGATGAACATGGATATCTTTGTAGACTATTTTAAACTCTTTCAAACAAAACAGCAAAATCCTGTGAGGGTAGGTTTCAATCATATTTACTAAAACCACAGAACTCACTCAATAATCGTCATTGGTTCAAAAGAAACTATGTTGAATAAGTAAATATTTATCTTTTGTCATCATATCCTATTTCTGAATATATTTTTCATCCTGATTTTTCCAATGATATGAAAATTCAAACTTAGAACTTTATGCCACCCATTCCATATTTTAAACTGTAGTTTAGCTCTCTCTTATGTTTAGTCAACACTCAATAATAAAATTCCTTTCCAAACAGAACTGGCTCCTGACTAGTCTGTCTTTACTTTCCTATCTACTATCCCCTCATCCTGTGCACATCCTTTAAACCCTCTCCCTTTCCCCAAACTCAACTCCAAGCCATGGCCCTTCACTGTCTAGTTAAAAAACAAGCCCTGGCTGGTAGGGCTTAGTGGTTAGAGCGCTGGCTTGCACACCCAAGGGTCGAGGGTTCAATACCCAGTGAAGGGTATATATCTCGGGTGCAGGTTCCATTCTTGGCCCCAGTGAGGGTGTATGCAGGAGGCTACCAATCGACGTGTTCCTTTCACATCTCTTTCTTTCTCTCTCTCTCTCTCTCTCTCCTTCCCTCCTTCTCTCTCTTCCTTCCTCCCTCTCTTCAACTCTCTCTAAAAATAAATGCAGGATTAAAAAAATAAATAAATAAAAAAAGCCCTGGCCAGTTTGGCTCAGCGGTTAGAGCATCCACCTGCGGTCCAGAGAGACCCGGGTTCGGTTCCCGCTAAGGACATGTACCTCGGTTGCAGTTTGTCCCCGGCCCTGGTTGGTCGTGCGGGTGGCAGCCACTCGATGTGTCCCTTTCGCATCGATGTTTCTCTCTCTCTCTCTTCCTCTCTCTCCCTCCCACTCTATCTGTACAAAAAATGGAAAAATGTCCTCGGGTGAGGATTAAAATAAATAAATAAATAAAAATCAATGGAAAAATATCCTTGAGTGAGGATTAACAACAACAACCACCCAAAAAAACCCACAACAAACTAAACCAAAACAAACAAACAAAAAAACAACCTTTTTGTCACCAACCGCCACTCCAGGTTGCTCTTGTTACTGCCCACAAAAAGACTGTAATTAAATTAAAAAGCAATGAAGCAAAAAAGTAAAAAATAAGCCCAAAACAAACCAACCAAATAAAACTTTTAAAATAGCCAGCACCCACTCCCTCAAAAGAAGTGTTAAGGCCTGGCCAGTGTAGCTCAGTGGTTGAGCGTTGACCCATTCACCAAGAGGTCGCTGGTCGCTGGTTCGATTACCAGTCAGGGCACATGCCCAGGTTGTGGGCCCAGTCTCCAGTGGGGGGCATGCAGGAGGCGGCCAGTTGGTGTTTTCTCTCATCGATGTTTCTCTCTCTCCCTCTCCCTTCATCTCTCTCTAAGATCAATAAAGAAAAAAAAAATTTTAAAGGAGTGTTAAGTAATCAATAATATTGGTTTTCTTTATTATCATCTGTGAAAAAGGAGAGAAGGAGAGCTAGCTATCTGTAACAGCCTATGAGCTTTTAGGCACTCATTTGTGAGGCTGTACAAACTCTGAGACACAACTGTGCTCTCTACAGCAAATAACACATTGACCTAATAGATTCAAGTCACTTGTGTTTGTCCCACCAAAAATGGCAAAAAAGATGCCAGGATCTTTCCTAAAACAAAACAAAACAATATAGTGCCTGGAATCTAATTTATACTTCTTTCCCAAACTTGAGTATCCATAGGTATTGCCATCCATGACTGAAAGAAATTCACATAACCAATGATTTCCTTTTCCATTGTTAAAGTTCCAATAGGAGGAAGAATCCAGATTTAGTGCACACCTCTGTAATTGAAAATATGCAACAATTTGTCATACAGGGCAACCTAACTCTTAAAATTGAAGCACTTTTTAAAAAAATACTGATTGATTAAAAGGTTAAGGGTTTGAGGCTATTTCTAATTCTAATTTGAAAATGTCTTCCAATTTCACATTTCCTTAGACTTCATCACAGCCTTTGTGTGAACTCCCCTCAAGCGTAATGCCCAAAAGAGTTACTGTTCTATCCTAACAGAAACTTCTCACAGAAGACAGCATCAAGTATTTCTCACTGACTAAGTGAAAGGGGGCGATCCGACTGCCTGTACAGAAGTGACTCATAAGCCTCTCCTATTGCTGTCTTTGTGGCAAAGAGAAGTTTTGGTAATTAAAGAGGAAAGTTTAAATCTTGGAATCAGGCAGAATTGCAGTAGACCCTATCATTTCTAACTGTTACATGAAACCACCGACTGCTACCTTCATTTCATTGAGAGGACCATAGGAATGAAAGGGAGTGCTCTGTGTGATTACTAGAAAATTGGGACATGATCACTTTCTTCTAACAAGGGACCTATACAACTCTACATATTAATCTGAGCAGTCTAACCAAAATTGGACACATATTAAATAGCAAAGTAATTAAGAATGCATTCTATACTTTCAGATTTCAGAAATTACAGATTTCATAACACACTGTTGTTTTCTCAACTACATAATTTTTGCAACGCATTTAAGTAACAAAAGAACCAATTTAGAGTATTCCTCTACACCCACAGTGCCATCTAGTGCATAAAACTTGAGAACTGTTCCATTCCATCATGCCTGACTGTTCTAACACCACATACATGTTTTTGGATATTCTGACTCAATATATCATTTCTCTGGATAATAGCTTACATTCACAATGCTTTGTACTTGTACCTGAATAAGTTTCTTGTCTTTGGTTTTCCATCATCCCAGCATCCTGCATTTTTCAGGTGTTAAATAATATTTGGTGAATGAAAAAGTATACATTTTTATACAAAGCGTCTTCCCAAATATCTTCTTAAACTGACACTCCACTGGATCTTGAGACACACCTGTTTCTTAAATAGTCTGAATCCTCTAATTCCAAGTGACTTGTAAAAACATATATATTGGATGTTTATATATAATTAACTAAATTCCAATAAATTTACAGTGATGTGATATATTTTTTAATTTAAAGGAATCTTAATGTTCATTCACAGTGATTTACTATTCACCATCTTAGTTGGAAACAATTGCTGGGAAAAGCCTTCAATTACCTCAAAGTTCATTTTGTATGTTCTAGTAACCCAGATATGGACTCGGCTTTAGTGAGACCTGAAGTTTATATAATTTGGAGCTCTTCAAGACAAAGAACTCCAAATTATTAAAACCAAATTAGGCCCAAGGCTTTGGACTGGGGCCCCTGCAAAGGAAAAACCCCAAAACTTCATAGTAATTAACTTCACGGTAAATCCATCTCTGCTTGTACCCAATGCCCAGGTGAAATGATGTTCATGGGATGTTCATTTTGGAGGCAACTGACCAGTGAATCACATGATTTTCTACTTTTAGCTAGAAAATCCTTAGAAATCATCTAATCCTCTTCACTTCATAGGGGAGGAAAAAGAGGTAAATTTGTTAACTCCATTGAGGCCATATGGTGAGACTAGAATTTCACCCCCGTCACCTATCTTGGGATGGATGGCAAATTTGCTCAAATGATCATTAAGCTCTCATCTAGGATGTCCTGCTGCTTCTAGCACCAAGAGTTCAGAGATGGCTAGAGATGACTCCAAAAATCAAAGGTGCTTTACGTTTTTGTTCATCTTTAATATCAGTACAGCCTATTAAGTGTTGAAGGGCAATGGGAATGAATGGTCCTGTTACTAGTTTGGTTGCCTCAGTCATTAAGAATCGATAATAAGAAAGTGCTCTTGATGACGAAAAAATAATAATTAAATGAAGGAATTCTAAGTACAAACAGTTTACATTCAAATCCCTGTCCCTTCGTCCCTTCAGTGAAAGAAACACCTGTTGGAGCCTCTGGAGCCTTTTCCAACCTTCATGCTACAAGAAAATCCGACATATGTCCATCTGCCAGTACGTGTTCAGCCACATGAAATAATGAGGGAGTGACATGTTACAGTCCACAGGCAAGCCTGGGTCAGTGGGATGACCAAGGTACCTAGTGCAGGTGGGGGGGGGGGGCAGAGAGATCACACTAGACTGTTTTGTGGAAGAATTCTATGGAATCACCTTCTCCTTAGAATCCTTAAATGCATTTTAAAAATCTCATCTTTTTAGGAGTCAGATTGGATTTTACACAGGGGTACAGATATCTCTTGGATTTCTATCAAGCCCTCTGTTTCCACATAAATAGAAAGCTTACTCAATCAGTTTTCTTGGGGCTGTTCTCTTAGTCTGTCTGACACTTTTTTCTCCCTCCAAATATGTTGTAATACCATTAGTTAAAAGAAAGGTCTAAAGCATCAAGGTTGCACACTGCATTAGAAATATCCCTCTGGGGGGAAAAAAAAAAATGTATCCCTCTGGCTTCCTCTTAGGGAGGTCCCTAGCTGTGTTATTGGCACTTGTCAGCACCTCCCTGTGGCACTATAGAGTGGAGACACCAGGTATTCTACTGACCACTATTACTGACAAGGAAGAAAATGTAACTATAATTATTATTGGGACTTTGTCTTGGTTTGAGCATCAAGGATACCAAAATATAATGTATAGAATTTGGTTAGTCTTAGAATTTTAGAAACAGATCAATTATAAACAAAATTAAAATGTCAAAAGTAATTATCTAAGTAACATTAAGTATATTAATTTAACCTTACCAAAAAGTCAGAAAAAGCAAATATAAAGATTGCAAGAGAGTATTTATTCATTCCCCACCTACCCTGCCTCGTGGATATAATTTCTAGTTATTAGTTACATTAAGTACGCTGTTGTTACTCAAGAAATGTTGTGTAATAAATAGTGTCTGCTAAATTGGATATTTTAACATATGTTATGAGAAATATAAAAAGTCAGCATGACTATAAAATGCATCATAATTTTTCATTTGCATAATTTTCTGTTTAAATGCATATGTTCATGTTATATTAGCTGTAAAGGCACAAATTACATTTTACATAATATAGTAAGTTTATATAGTGAATAAAAGTGAATTAAGTGAAAAAGAAATTAAGCACTAGGGCTCAACCGAAAAGGACTATAGGGCATTTGAAAACCAAGGACAGCTCAATTTGGAGTGCACCGTGAACTTTGGACTCTCAAAGTTCCCTGCAAACCTGTTAAGAGATAATGAACCATGTCTCTCCAGCACCACATTCATTTTCCCAAATGCAATCTTTATAGTCTCCAAATCAAGCTGACAGACAAACATCAACCAAATGTTGGACTTTATGTTTAAGGGATCATATGATGTCTTAGAACCTTCACCACATCCTTTATTTTAAGGTAATCAGTCAGTAGGAAATAAGAAAATGTTTTCAGTGACTTATTTTTTTTTTAATTTTCAAGTATGTACTGAAGACCTGTTGATTCTAAATAAGCATTTACATTTATTAAAGACCAAGTTCTCCTCCCAGTGATCTAAAGGTTACTAGCAGCGTCTTAACAGCACCTACAACCTGCAGGTTCCTGGCTATCTCTTGCCCACAGCATTCAAAAAAAAAAAAAAAAAAAAACCATGCCCAACTGTGTCCAGTAAAGAGTACCAATGTTAGAAAATAAAATAAGGCTACCAATATGGCCTCATAAGGCCCACAAGTTTTTACTAATTTGGCAGGTAGATGCAAGGGAACAAATCCCCTTAACAAACTGAAGAGAGAAATTGACAGCCTTATTTATTTTTATTTTTTCCAACCTCTTAGTTCAATCAGTGTGCCTTCTTTCACAATGTAAAGATTCCCAGGAGGCCAGGGATACTACACAGTGGGGGACACCAAGACACATAGGAGGGCTTCCTTCTCATTCTAGAGATGAACGACCTTGTCTTTTAGGAAGTTGTGGTCAATTCTGGCTTCCACCTCATTCCTTGGGAAAGTGTGCTCACATGACTACTCCAAGGTTCAGAGAGCAGAGGAGTAAGCATCCTCTACCCCAGCTCCAAACCTCAATCTGTGAGGTTAGCAACTCCCACCATCTGTACTTAGCCTACCACCCAGCACGTACCTGGAGCCTACAGTAGAAGGCCAGAAAGGGTGCAGAGCTAGCTGGCAGGTTTAACAAATGAAAGGTTTATTTTCTGGCTTCACAACAGGTCCTCCACCTGTTTTTTTATGACTCTCATAACACATGTAACATGCTGTAAGTCTCTGCTCCCCTTCCAGCCTAGAAACTCCTTACTGACCTCTATAGCTTCAAAGTCTACTAAAATAACCTGCACCTAATAGGTGTCTAATAAATCACTGGTTTTCATTTTGAACTGAACTAACCTGAATGAAATTGAAATCTAGGAAAAGAGAAGCTAGAAATCTGGCTGAGTCTCTCCAGGAAAGGTAGAGCAAACTGGCAGAAGAAAATTCCCCAGAGAACTCAAATAATTATATCCATTGTGGTAAACAAGAATGCAGTGAAAAGAAAAGCATTTAGATTTCCGTTTTGATTGACGCAAACATTTACCCATATTGTAGTGAGGCAGAGGGCTATAAGGGGAAATGGAAGCCTCTGGTCATTGGGCAGACAAGTTCAAATCTTGGCTCACTCTTTACTTGCTGTATGACCTTCGACAAGTTAGCCCATTTTAAGCCTCAGTTTCTGTGCCCCTAAAGTGGGGATAATGAGCCTACCCTTGTAGAAAAGGAAAAAAGAAAACATCAAATGCCTGGTAGATATAAAATGTTCAATAAATAATAGCTATTATGAGTTTAGCATTTAAAACTCAAAAGTAAAATCTTAACCAGGGAACAAAGACTCTAAGTTTCCAATATTATTTTCTAATTTATAGACGTATCACTTACCAATTCCATATTTTGTCTTATAATAAGTCTTTGTAAACTCATCACAGTCACAAAGGAGTACTTTCCTTCCCCACACATTGATGGTGGTTCCTACGGACAGGTCACTATCTTTGTAAAACTCTTGTTCTAATTTTCCCATCTAATAAAAACAAAGGAACACAATGTTGGCACCACAGACCCTCCAAAGATCTAACTGTTTCCAAAGGAAAAAATATATTAAAAAAAAACAAAACCTCAATTATGTAATTTATAACCAAATTTTAAAAATCAAACCAAATGACAAGTAGTTGATATTAACATTTTAAAACATTCTTTTAGCAATGTAGTCTTACCCAATAGCAATGCAAGGCATATATTTACATATGCACTTAAGTATGTTTATTATTGATAAACAACAATGCAATGTATGCATTTATATATTCATTCACTTCACAATCAATCTCACAAGAGAAGAATATGTAACTCAACCCACATTTCAGGTTCAGGGATATCACATTGGAAACAGTAATAAAATGTAAGATTCCTCACCTTGTATTTATCCAACAGGTAGCCATGCACTCGGCTCACTCTATAGCCACTATACACATTGAGAACTACGCGATCTGTTACTTCGCCTGGTTGATAGACTCCAGGTGGGCCATACTGGAAGACAAAACCAAAGCAAGATGTGGTGGATGGCCTCTAAACCCCTTCAGACTGGACTATACTCCACCTATCCATCAAAACCCTGATAAAGCCCCATCTTTCCCCATGACCTCTCCCATCCTACTGGCCTGTCCCCAATCCAAAGCTCCATAGCACCTATCGCAGGAATAAACCACATTTTATGATTCTCTAATTGATTCATCAGCAGTCATCTTTTCTCTTCATTCAACTACAAACCATGCTTTGCCTTCTTTTCTTTACTCTGCTTAGCATCCTGCCTGATCCTGAACTCAGAATGCATTTGCTGGCTGAGAGAGGCAGTGTGGTGACATGGCAAGAACAATAGAATGTGGTCAGCCTTTAACAGAAATTGAAGTGAACCATGGAACTCCTCAGTTCTACACATGCTGGAGGTAGTCCAAGCAGTTGTGTGAGCTGCAAGAAATACCTTAATTAACTTACAAATTCACAGTTATCTGTGTGTCATATACAGATGAGAAATCTGAATCATCTCGGATACATGTGACATAATATGTAAGTTAAACATGTGAATTTATTATGTGTGGGGTATAAGTAAGCTACGTAACATAGAAAAACAGTACATATGGACATAAACTTTATGTTCGCCACTTACTAGTTAAAGGACTTGGGGCCAGATATTTATCTTTAGTTTCATATAGCTACAACAGTACTTATTCTTTGCTTTCTCAAAAGATGTTGAGAGTGCCAGGGGAACACCTACCGCTACTGTATCTTTCCCACAAGAGAATGTAAGCAAGCTCTCCATGAAGTAGAACTTAATCCATTTTATATATCACTGCAACCCCAGAGCTGACATACAGTTGACAATAAGTATGCGTTCAATGAATGAATAAATGAAGTAATTGATGTGCAGGCACACTGCAAATGTTAGGTGTGTCATTATTTTATATTCAGCCTATTTATCAAAGCAGTCTTCCCAGGTATCTGCTGGTCACCTGCTGTCCATACCCCAGAGCTCCCTCTCAGACAAATTCTGCCTATCACCACCACTACCACCACCTCTCCCAGCAATACTACAGGGCTTCTGGCTATGGGTTCAAAAAATCTTGGAGAGCCTCCTGTCTAGACCACATAACCAGCAGTCTGTTTGCGTCAGAAATAAGTGTTACAGTCACCTCTTCAGCAGCACTAAGAAATGTTAAAAAATATTTAATCTAAATAAGAAATGAAATGTAACATAGAACTGTGAAAAAGCCTTTATGTTTCCGTATCCTTACAGGTATTTATGTATAGGTCCTTAGATAGTGTTTTTTTACTGTGTTACCTCATTCTATTTATAGTTACCTCTAGGTGGAAGCCTTGTTAACTACATTTTAGAGATAATAAAATACACTCAGAGAGGTTAAGTGACTTGCCCAAGGTCACATAGCTATTAAGTGCAGAATCACAACTCTAATCCAGGTCATCTATATTTGGATCATTTTTGGCTGTATTCAAGTTATGCTAGCTCTTAAATACCCATAAATATGTGTAGAAATCAGTCTGATAACTTTCAATAGCAAATAAAATGCAAAAGCTGCCACTGCTGCTAGCTAGTGGCTACCTGGTGACTGGTAGTTACTCTAAGAAGTTACTCCTGTGTGTGTGTCACAACACAAACCAATACAATGGGATCTCCTTAGTAGGCTACAGAGGCCAGAAACCAGTATCCCATCCAAGACCATAAGCAATTCTTTTACTAAAGAGTCATTTATCTTCATAATACAGATTGTGAACTCAATATTGAATAGATAATTTCTTGTGCATTTGACATTTTCCCTTTATTTGCCTTGTGCCCAGAATATTCCAACTCCAATTTGTCATTTCCAAGATGCATATTAATATAGAGCACAAAATGAAAGTTTTCTAAACATTTGCACTAATATATGATAACTGTCATAACACATGACATTCCAGTGAGTGACTACAGTCTTTTAGCTCACAAGCAAACTCAGAAAGTAGTTGTGTCCACTGCTCACCTTGGGCAGTTTTCCCCTCTGGAGGAAATATGACATAGGATCCCGGCCTGAGTTGTGGGGCAGCAATTCTTTGATTTCGATAGTATCATCAGACAAAAAATAATGCAAGATGAGTTGTCTGCGGTCCCCAAACAATGAGACTGAGTCATCCCACAGGCAGAAGAAACGCAAAACCTTCCTATCATACTCGAGGAATTGTTTCAGAGTGTCGAAGGACTCATAGGGACGTAAGGGCTGGACGCATTCTAGTGTCTGAAAATGAAGAAAAGTTTCATAATAGTTGTGGTTTGGTTACAAGCACTTCTGGGATGCAAGCAATCCAAGAACATAAAGGTATCTTTTCCATAGACCATTCTATTATATTTTTTTATTTCAACTAACAATATATGTATACATTTATATTTAGATGTATATATGAATTATAACCAGTTTTAACCTTAAAAATATAATCAAGTATGAGGAAGCTTTCATATTAAACATTATTTCAATACACTAAAATATATTTCTATAATGTGTTTAAAAACTGATTTTTCTCAAAGACTTAAAATTCTTGTTTAATAAAAGACAAAAATAAGTAGAGTGACAGAAATTAGAATAGCAATTGCTGCTTGGTAGGAGATTGACTGGAAAGGGAAATTTCTGGGGTGATGAAAATATTCTATGTCTTGATTTTTATGTTAGTTACTAAATTGCATACATTTTTCAAAACTTGTTGATCTGTATGCTTAAAATCTATACACTTATGTTAATTATATCTCAGTAAAACATGGTGTGTTTTTCAATAAAATTCATATCTGTATATCTTTCTTACTCATTCAAAGATTTTCGTGAGGGTAAAAGGGAAGAAATATATTCATGGTTTTATTTTGCTCAAAAGCTTTAGATATTGAGGATCTGAAAGGCCATGGAAACAGAAGCAGAACAAATAGAAAACTTCCCAGTCGGCACAGAACCAGTGCCTGGGCTCTGTCTCCCAAACCAGAAACCACTAGCTCTGCAGTCTTCTTGGTGCAACTTTTCTCTATTTTCATGTTCCCAGCCCAGTCTTGGAGCAAAATTTCTCATTCTATCTGATGTGTCCAAATAGGATTGTTATATAAAAGTGTTCATTGGCAAGGGAGGTGTAATCCCACATCAACTTACGTAATATGATGTGTGAATTCTCGAAATTTTGTACCTGTCTAGGGCAGTCTAGGTGCAGACTTACCCCAAGAAAGGAGAGAGACATGATGGTCTTTCAGAGGCTCTCTGGTCTTATCCTTGATACTTAAATAAAATTATGGGACCTCTACTTTTGTTGACTGAAAAATGTTTCTTCAGCATCATAAGGCTTATAAGAAATGTACTATTGATTACATACCATTGGAGCTCTTTTCAGTTTAAGTTAAATTGTTTAATTTTAACTTTACATTTCAATGCAGCAAGCACTGGAGAAGTAAAAGCATTAAAATCAATATAAAAGCTTCTTATTAAACTCCTAATTTTCCACAGATTTCTATATTTATTGAAGAGCTTTCTCCCTGAGGGAACAAATGCTAAAATGATTCTCCCAATCTGAAAGGAAATTACTTAAAACATTTCTTGGATGTTTTTGGTATTTAGTCTCGATTTCTGGCACAAAACAATTTTTTCTTTATAAACCTATAAAATTTCACAGTACTCTACACATTTCATATAATGCATAATCATTCACAATCACTAACATATAATACCAAGTGTTAGTGAATAAATGCAGCCATATGTAAAGGGTAGTAATTCATTTGGATCCATTTATTTTAGGTTCTTTCTGCTAGTTCTAAAGACTTTCTATTTATCTAGATTATTTTATCTAGGGCATTTGGAAAAAAATAAAAATGAGCCCAAACCATAAATTTCCTTGCATGCCAAGATACACAGGTATAATGCCACAAGGATTTCACCTTGGATACTCCAAGATCAATAATATATATTTTTTAGGAAGGTTATATGCCTACAACATTAAACAATAATTCTGCTGGGGCTAGAAAGCAGAAACAGATGAATGACCCTACATGCAAATTTTGACAAGAGATCAAAGAAAAATCAAAGAAGAATTTCATTCTAAATTTTATATTATCTTTCTGCAAGGAAGTGAATTACAAGTTTTAGAAACAATAAAAATGAGATTAAACTAATCTGTAGGGATAGAAATGAGAACAGTTGTTAACCCTGGGTGGAGAAAAGGACTGATTAGAGAAAAAGGCATGAGGGTACTTTCTGGAGGGCAGGGTGAGGAAATGTTCTATATCTTGATTTGAGTGAGGATTATATGGGTGTATGTATTTTTTAAGACTCATCCAACTGTATACTTAATTTCTGTGAATTTTACAGTGTATAACCATACTCCAATAAAAAGGAAAACAAATGACAATAATTAAAATCAAGGTAAGACGCAAAAAACTTGAATTCAAACCCCAGTAAGAAGACTGGTTAGGTATGTAAACTTCCACATGACACTTGCCCTTTTGGGTGTTCAGATTATTTTATTAAACATAAAATTTGGGTCATGGGATCATTAAAAAAACTTTAGAAAGAAAACAATGATACATCTAACACTTATTCCTTCCTTCCTACACTAATTGGGGTCAGACTTTCCTTTCATAATGTGGGTACATCAGAATCATTGCCCTTCTCACTCCTCCAGAACATCTCTGTATCTGATGCTGCCATAAAGGGAGCTGGGAGTCCCAAGGAAGAAGGGGAAAGGTAAAAGGTGTACCCAAGGCTTGGTTCAGTAAATCAGTGGAAAAGAACCAAAGATTTTCCCAGAGTTAGGGAACTAAATTGGGAAAAGACAAGCCAGGTAAGTGTGGGCCCACTGTCAGTAACTACAAAAGCAATTGCGGGCTCTTAGAAATTGCCCCATGTGGGTGGCTCACTGAAGACTCCTACTGCCTGGAAGGGAGACTCTCCATGGAGAGAAATGTGGGTAGGGGCAGTAAGTGAGACTTTCCTGCACTGAGATCCACACTCAGACTTCCCTCAGCCTAAAAGAGAAGAGGACAACAACAGCAACTATAGCTCCAAAAGTTCTTTCACATCTGCATCAGAAGTACCAATACCCTCCTATTAAGTCTCTAGAGCAATTCTCATTCTGAAGAAAAGAACTCACAATGTATCAACTTCTTACCTCTTTCCTCATCTTCGTGTAAGGATCTTCTGGACACTCTCCTGGAGGGTTTAATTTGATTCCTATTTTCTTCAAAAAGTTTTTTGTGAATGCATCACAGTCATAAATCTTGAAAGTCCGGCCATAAAAAACAATGTCTATGTTGATATTGAAGTGATACACAGTATAAAACTGATCACAATCAGGAGGTGGGAGAGGAATTCGATGACGCCGGATAAAAGTCCCTGTGGTATGAAATAAAATACAATTGTTTTATCGTGCAGCAGAAGAGGTCACAGCACATCTCAGTGACAGCCCCAAATGCTTTCCCAAAACAGTAATTTGGGCAAAGGGCTGATTCTTGGAGGCAGCATTAGTATGTTCAAACTCTGAGGAAGCCAGAGGAAGCCGAGACTTCTGAGGTCCAGAGTTATTTGAAGTCTTACATGTTATTAGAATTGCCTAAGTGGTAGTAGAGAAGTACTTTAATAAACCATAAAGACTAGGGTGGGAGGAAAGAGGGGGCCGTAAACAGAGTGAACTAATGCACCAGACACTGCCACCATGCCTTTTCCCGGAACAAGCATGGTCACTTTCACCCACTTACACTTAATGTGAGCACACTAAAAGAGTCACTAAGAGTGCACCATGGCAATGGCTTATGATGATGCCTTTTCCTTCTCAGCTTCTGGGTGTCCCTTCAGGTCTTGTGTTCTAAGCTGTGAGAGGGGGAGGGTGTGGGAGGTCTCTGATATGACAATGTGAAGGAAGGAAGAGAAGACAACTTTGACAGTATAAGTACTAATCACCTACAGCAGTTACTGGAAGAAATCCACTTGAACTGAGTTGGAGGGTGATACATAGGCCTCCCACACTGGGCTTAGGGTTCACATCCTCGCCATTTGAGGGCCTGCACCTGTGTGTGCCCCACCATTCAGACAAAAGTCACTAAGGTCGATGTGACATCAGCAGTGTGATTAATGACCAGACAGATTTGGTGACATCTAAAAACTTTTCTGGAAAAGATTCCTTTGCTTCTTTGATTAAGCTTTTGGTATTATAAATAGGATGTTCTGCCTTTAGGATTAAATAATGCTAATATGTGTTTGGTTTTATGTACAACCAAATTCAGGTTTTCCCTTTCAAATGGCAAAGGTCTCATTTAATTATGCTTCTCTTTCATTCTTTCAGAATAATTTAAGAAAAGGTGACACTTTTTTGTAAAAAAGAGGCCCCTCTTATATGCTTTATAAAATATTCAATATTAGTACTTTATATTAAATCTTTGACACATTTTTAGTATTTTTTAAGATGCCCCCAACCCCACCCACAGGCTGCATGAGAATTAGACCCACCTGTGTCCCTATAGCTTCCTGTGCTTCCGTCTATAGTAGCTCCAACCACACTATTTTAACTGTGTGGTTAGTTCTTGGTCTGGTACTTACTATAAGCATACTGAGAAGAGATTCTGTATTCCCTGAGGCAGTAGGTTATAAGAGCAAATACTTTAGAGGAATCCTGCATAAATTCAAAACTTTCCAACTCTTACAGCAATACTTGTATCAGACAAAATAGACTTTAAAACAAAGGCTACAGCCTGACCAGTGTGGCTCACTGGTTGAACGTTGACCCAAGCACCAAGAGGTCACCAGTTCAATTCCCAGTCAGGGTACATGCCAGGGTTATGGACCAATCGATGTTCTCTCTCATCTCTCTCTCTCTCTCTCTCTCTCTCTCTCTCTCTCTCTCTCTCTCTCTCCCCCTTCCTCTATAAAATCAATAAAGAAAAAATATTTCAAAAAAACACAAAAGCTATAATAAGAGACAAATAAGGACTTAACTTAAAGATAGAGGAATCAATCCAACAAGAGGATATAACTCTTGTAAACATTTAGCACCCAATATAGGAGCATCTACATATATAAAGCAAATCTTGATGGACATAACAGAGAGAGCAACACTAATAACCTTAACAGGGGACTTTAACACCACATTGACAATAATGGATAGCTCTTCCAGACATAAAATTAACAAGGAAAGAGTGGTCTTAAATTATACAGTAGGCCAGAAGGATTTAATTGATATTTTCAGAGATTTTTACCCCAAAGCAACAGAATATACACTCTTTTTAAGTGCACATGGAAAATTTTCCAGGATAGACCACATGTTAGGCCATAAAAAAATACTCAGCAAATTTTAAAAACCTGAAATCATATCAAGCATCTTCTCTGACCACAGTGGTATGAAACTAGATATCAACTACAAGAAAAAAACCCTGAAAAGTACACAAACACAGGGAGCCTAAAAACATGTTACGAAACAATGAATAAGGTAACAATGAAATCAAGGAAGAATTCAAAAGATACCTTGAGACAAATGGAAATGAAAACACAGCAACCCAAAATCTGTGGGACACAGAGAAATCAGTCTTAACAGGGAAATTCATAGCAATACAGGTTTACCCAAGAAAGAAAAATCTCAAATAAATAATCTAACCTTATACCTAAAGAAAAGACCTAGAAAAGTACAACAGAGAAAGCTCAAAGTGAGTAGAAGAAAGAAAATAACAAATATCGATTATTCTAGAAAAATGGCGGCGAAGTGAATGGAGGGACCCAGACCGTCTCCCAAGACCAAACTGGATTTACAAGGAAAACAAAGGCAAACCGTCAGGAAAGGGCAGCTGAAGGACACCTTGGAGGACCACTTAACCAGAAACACCCACTCAGTCCTGGTAGGCTTGCGAGGACGGGAGAGGGGACCAAGGGCCCAGGGTCCGCAGCGGCCTGGGCAGGGGCCAGGGAACTAGAGGGGAAGTTAACTCTACAGTCTTTCTTTCCACCGTGCACGGCCTGGAAACCCTGTTGCCGGCTAGGCTAGGCTCTCTGCTGAAGCCGCACAGACTCGCAGCCGGCCAGGCTAGGCTCTCTGCTGAAGCCGCACAGACTCGCAGCCGGCTAGGCTAGGCTCTCTGCTGAAGCCGCACAGACTCGCAGCCGGCTAGGCTAGGCTCTCTGCTGTAGCCGCACAGACTCGCAGACCCCAGGCAAATCGGTGGGACCGGGGAACGCGGTGGAGAGTTAACGCTACCGCGTCCCTCCCTGCCGTGCACGGCCTTGGAAACTCTGCAGCCGGCTAGGCTAGGCTAGGCTCTCCGCTGGAGCCGCACAGACTCGCAGCCGGCTAGGCTAGGCTCTCTGCTGAAGCCGCACAGACTCGCAGACCGCAGGCAAATCGGTGGGACCGGGGAACGCGGTGGAGAGTTAACGCTACCGCGTCCCTCCCTGCCGTGCACGGCCTTGGAAACTCTGCAGCCGGCTAGGCTAGGCTAGGCTCTCCGCTGGAGCCGCACAGACTCGCAGCCGGCTAGGCTAGGCTCTCTGCTGAAGCCGCACAGACTCGCAGACCCCAGGCAAATCGGTGGGACCGGGGAACGCGGTGGAGAGTTAACGCTACCGCGTCCCTCCCTGCCGTGCACGGCCTTGGAAACTCTGCAGCCGGCTAGGCTAGGCTAGGCTCTCCGCTGGAGCCGCACAGACTCGCAACCGGCTAGGCTAGGCTCTCTGCGGAAGCCGCACAGACTCGCAGACCCCAGGCAAATTGGTGGGACCGGGGAACGCGGTGGAGAGTTAACGCTACCGCCTCCCTCCCTGCCGTGCACGGCCTTGGAAACTCTGCAGCCGGCTAGGCTAGGCTAGGCTCTCCGCTGGAGCCGCACAGACTCGCAGGCGGCTAGGCTAGGCTCTCTGCTGAAGCCGCACAGACTCGCAGACCCCAGGCAACTCGGTGGGACCGGGGAACGCGGTGGAGAGTTAAGTCTACCGCGTCCCTCCCTGCGGTGCACGGCCTTGGAAACACTGCAGCCGGCTAGGCTAGGCTCTCCGCTGGAGCCTCACAGACCCCTGGCCCCCAAGGAACTGGGCGGGACCAGGGAACTCGGAGGGACCGGGGAACTAGGCGGAAAATTAATTCTACTGCCTCCCCTCCTGCCGTGCAAGGCCCTGTAGCCGCTGAAGCCGCACAGACTCCTGGCCCCCAGGCAACTCGGTGGGACCGGGGAACGCGGCGGAAAATTAAGTCTACCGCCTCCCCCCCCCCCCCCGCCGTGCACGGCCTGGAAACCCTGTAGCCGGCTAGGCTAAGCTCTCCGCTGAAGCCACACAGACTCCTGGCCCCCAGGCAACTCGGTGGGACCTGCAAACGTGGCGGAAAATTAATTCTACCGCCTCCCTCCCCGCCCTGCACGGCCCTGGAAACTCTGCAGCCGCTGAAGCCCCACGGACTCACGGCCCCCAGGGAACTGGGCGGGACCAGGGAACTTGGCTGGAAATTATTCCCACCACCTCCCTTGCCACCCTGCATGGGCCCTCCTAACGCTATAGCCTGCTAAACTCTCCGCTGGAACCACACAGACTCCCGGAGAACAGGGGACTTGGCGGGATTAAAGTGGGTCCTCCCTGGTGCATCCAAACCCAGGAGAGGGAGCCACAAACAGCAAAACACGAACACCCACTGGGAAAACTTGGCAGACTCCAAAGCCCACTGTGATAACCAAAATGGTGAGAAACAGAAACAAAAGCCAAATGAAAGATCAAGAGACCTCTACAGAAGATGAAATAAATGAGGTGCAGTTAAGCAAGTTAACAGAACTAGAATTTAGAGCCATGATGTTGCGGAAGATCAACAGCATGTGTAAGGACATGAGCAACATGAGTAAAGACATAGAAATGTTGAAAATAAACCATCTGGAAATGAAAAACCAACAGGAAGAAATGAAGAATGACATATCAGAAATGAAAAACACACTGGAAGGTCTAAAAAGCAGAGTAGGGGAAGCTGAGGACCGGATCAGTGAATTAGAAGACAGGCTAGAAGAAATCAACCAATCAGAAAACCAAAAGGAAAAAAAGATTAAGAAACAAGAAGAGAGCTTAAGAGAATTGTGGGACAACTGGAAACGTAATAATATTCGTATCATAGGAGTCCCTGAAGAAGAAGAAAGTAAGCGAGGGCTAGAGAATATATTCAAAGAAATAGTGACAGAAAACTTCCCTAATTTGGTGAAGGAAGAAGGCATTCAAGTTCAAGAAGCTCAGAGAGCCCCAAGTAAGAAGAACCCAAACAGGCCCACACCAAGACACATAGTAATCAAACTGCCAAAAATTCAAGACAAAGAGAGAATCCTAAAAGCAGCAAGAGATAAGCAACAGGTTACCTACAAAGGAACCCCCATAAGGCTCGCAGC